GAAAACGAAGCATTAAGACACGAGACCAAGAAATTGAAAGATAGACTACTACAAACAGAACGCAAGGCGAAGAAATACAATCTGATAGTGTACAACCTACCGGGGACGAACCCTAGCAGTGAAGTTATAAAACTATTTCGTGACAAGCTAAACGTCAATTGTCGTGAAGAAGACCTGAGAGACACTTATAGATTCAATTCCAAAAGTGCAAACGGAAAGCCTGAACCAATACTTGTAGAATTTATTTCAAATAATCTTAAAACCAAAGTTTTAGGGGAAGCTAAAAAATTGAAAAATACTGGAATATATATTTCCCTTGATTACACACCAGAGGACTTCCAAATAAAGAAAGCTCTCTACTCCTACCAAAAGACTGCCAGAGATAAAGGCCATACAGCCAGCATTAAAGGACAAACATTGGTGATAGCAGGGGTTCCCTACACTCTAGAAGCACTCATATCAAACAACCCTGAAGCCGAAGCGGTCAATAACGTGCTCACAGGCAAGTCGGAAACAGAGGACTCAGTTTTTAAGGAAGAAACTAAAAATCGTATGCTAGGTAATCAACATCAAGCTGAAGAACCTCAACCGAGGAAATAAAAGTATCTTAGATCCTCGTCTACTATTAACAAACAAAAATAATCAGTTACTCGACATTTGTATGTATGAGTACCCTCTCCCCACATTTAATCACTTTAATTTGCTAACAGTAATCCTGAAATCACGTATACACACAGAAGCAGTTGTCAAAATAAATGTATTCATACTCAATCATCTTTGTGAAGTGAGCCTACTGACTAATATTCGAAACTGCAGCAAAACACTGAACATTTTCGGTATTATCTCGTTTTTTTTTTTTTTTTTTTTTATTACAGATTAAAACTCATACTTTTTTCTTCATCCTATATACTGTAGCCTCGTTTCACCTCGAATTTAAATTTAAATAATTTCCTGATCAGTGAATTTTGTATACAAACAATAATGTCATTAAAATTTTGCCATATCAATGTGAGATCGATTCTGTCTAACTTTGCTGGTTTTAAAAATTGGGTATACAATAAATATGATGTGATAGCTGTCTCAGAAACTTGGTTGAGGGCTGATATTTTAGATTCGACGATACATCTACAGGGATATAAGCTACATCGACGAGATCGACTTGGAAAGAGAGGGGGCGGTGTGGCATACTATATTAAAAACAATCTGAACTCAAAGAACATCAACTATGGCATCGTGGAAACTGAGCAACTTTGGATCTCTATAAACTTCAAAAATAAAAACATTGCCTTAGGATGTCTCTATAAACCACCTGACATTTCTAGCACATTATTTTTGTGCGAACTAGAATCATGTCTGAGTATGCTAGCTCCACAATTTGACTTTGTTTTATGTGCAGGTGATCTGAACATAGATTACTTTGATTTGCATAATAACAACGTTAATGTACTTAATAATGTCATGGATTCTTTCAATTTGAATCAAATTATTGATCAGCCCACCCGTTATGCAGCGACCTCACAAAAATTATTAGATCTCATTATATGTTCACAAGATTTGGGCGTAAAAAGCAAACAAGTTATAAACTGTCCGGATATATCGGATCATTGCTTAACGGCATGTGAAATAGGAGAATCTCATGAGAAATTCGCACCTTTCAACTACACCTACCGCGATTTCAAAAATTTCAATACAGAATATTTTATTAACGACCTACAACTTTGTGATCTCTCAGCTTTACTAAGAGTAACAGATATCAATTCCAAAATTTCTATTCTGAATCAACTCATAATGCAGTTATTTGACTGTCATGCTCCTATTAGAACAGTTAGAATTACAAAAAAAAAAGAGTCCATGGCTTACATACACTATCAGAGCTATGATGAAATTGCGAGATAATGCACTAATAAAGTTCAGAAGAACAAGTCTGCCTCAACACTGGGAATACTATAAATCCCTTCGCAATGAAGTTAACAATGCAGTCAAAAGAGAAAAAAAGGCCTATTTACAATTCAGACTGAATAATAACCATAATATGTGGAAAGAACTTAGTAACTTGGATGTGTTCTCCAAAAAAAAGGTAGATATTCCTGCAAACGTCGGTAATTCTAATGATATTAACAATTATTTCAGCGAGATTACCTCTAACGGACAAGAATCGCCTGACAATGAAACTTTGGTGCACTTCTCTACTAGCAAACTCATGGGAGTAGACACATTTACTTTCACCTTGACTAATGAAAACGAAATATTCGAGAAGCTACTGTCTATAAAGTCGAATGCTATAGGGGTTGATGGAATTAGTATCAAGATGATTTTACACTGTTGTCCTTTCATCCTACCCTACATTGAACATATTTTTAATTTTTGTATACAGAACAAAGTATACCCTGAAATATGGAAGAAATCTAATGTAATCCCCCTGGCCAAAATTGCCAAGCCTGCAGGACTGAACGATTTGCGTCCAATAAGTATTCTTTGTGCCCTATCGAAATGTTTCGAAAAAATCATTGATACGCAAATTCGTTCCCATCTTGATGGGTTCTCCATATTACCTAGCACTCAATCTGGGTTTCGGAAAGGACTCAGCTGTACCACGGCGTTGTTAAACGTGAGTGATGATATACTCGCTGCAATAGACAACGATGAACTGTGTACTCTCGTGCTGATTGATTACTCCAAGGCCTTCGATAAAATCAACCACCAACTTTTACTAGCCATTCTACATTTCATAGGATTCTCCGATAATGCCGTGGAAGTGATCAAACAATATTTGTCTGGAAGAGTTCAGTCTGTGATGTTTAAGGGGATCCTATCTCACCCAGCCACAATAAAAAGAGGTGTGCCCCAAGGATCCATCCTTGGACCCCTACTATACACTATCTATACATCTCAATTCCACAAACACATTCAATATTTTTCTGTTCATTACTACGCGGACGACACGCAACTCTACATGCCCTTCAAGGAAACCGACATTCGTCTGGCCTGTGACCATATGAACTCTGATCGAGACTCTGATCTTCATACTTTGAATTCTTTATCTAAGAAGTTTTGTTTGGCGATTAATCCTACTAAGTCAAAAGCCATGCTATTTGGACGCAAAGGAGCACGTGAAAGAAACAGGCATAATTTAAACCTTTTTCTTGACAACGCTCCATTGGCACTATCAAGTTGCGAGAGAAATCTTGGTCTCATTTTGGATGACGAATTGAAATTCACTCAGCATGTTTCCCTCGCAGTCAAAAAAGCATTCTGCAACCTCAAACTGATTTATTCTAATCGACATATACTTACTAAAAAATGCAAGATTACACTTTGCGAATCACTAGTCCTTTCTCACCTCAATTACGCTGACTGTGTATATGGCCCCGCTCTACTGCAGGCTGACAGTCGTCGACTTCAACTTATACAAAACTCTTGTGTAAGGCTAATATGTGGTCTTCGCCGACAAAGTCACGTATCGTCTGCAATTTCCGAAATAGGTTGGTTGGATATGAAACAGAGGCGCTTACTACACTACTGCCTACTTATACACAAAATCATGTTGTCGAAAAAACCGCGATATCTTTATAACAAGGTGAGATTTCGCTCACAAATTCATGATGTGAATATCCGTCGAAAAAATCAGTTGACAATTCCTCGCCATAAAACCTCTCTTTTCAAGTCATCTTTCTCCTATAACATTGCCAAAATTTATAATTGCATACCAACCGAAATAAGAAGTGAATCCTTACTTTCGTTTAAGAAGTTAGTAACTGAACTTATTGCAAATAATCAATTAATTGTAGGTTAGCCATAGGAGTTGTAGTATATATATATATATTTTTCTTTCTATATATATCTAATTCTATAAATCTGTATATATATATATTTTTTTTTCTCTCTCTATATAATAATATATATCTATTTCTATAAATCTGAAAGTTGATGAAATAATCTGGATTTTTATTATCCGATAGCTTGTAAAGTTAGGGACATTTGTTCTAATCTTTAATTATTAAGTAACACTATAGGTTGAGTGGAAGAGCGCGTCCTCTCGGTAACTCATCTTACCGTCAGTACCGAACTCTGCCTTTTGTCTTCAAACTCCATATAGCTGAACTATAAAATGTAAAATGTAACATGTATAGTTTGAGACAATAAAATCCTATTATTATTAGTATTATTATTATTACAATATAGAGGTTTTGTGGATTATTAACAATAAGAAACTCACCTTTTTCTGCGTTGAACTGTATACTGTCACATAATAATCATTAACATCAATAAATACACAATAGCATTGGCACCCATTGACCACAATAACTATACCACTCGAAATAAAAACTCTACTGTGAAAGTACCGTAAGTGTGATGACAACGTTGGACAAAGAAGTTTTCTGAATTTGGGCCCAAAACTATATAATCATCTTCCTCCACAATTGACATCTGTAACCAACATGAATTATTCCTAATATGCGTTCAAAATATGGATTCAGAACACAGTAATTTTGTTGAAAATAAAATTATTGAAAGAGAAAAAAATCCTAGATTTTGACAAAACCCCATAAAAAACGTCAAATGTATACAGCACAATTGAGCTTTAGGTTTCAACGCTGCAATGCAGCATCTATCAGCATCTCTTATTGAAATTGGTCGACTCACACCATGAATCTCGAAGTCAGAAAGATAATATCACGTTTGTTGATAAAGCTCACTTCAGTACCAGAATAACACATTTCTGACTGGAGGTTTATGTGCAGAAATCTTCCACCCCAATGTACATCACAAACCACTTTAGCCAGACAGGAATAATAATAAAAAGCAAATATTACTTCTAGTTGACAGGAGACACTCATCCTAGGATATAATTTCATTTCAATTATCAATCTTCATCTTCCCACTTTATGTTGAATAATTTGATTATCTTCAATTTCTCATATATGCGTATTCACGATAATTATGTAGTTTAGCTAATTTCATTTTAATTTGAACAATTTTATTTATTTCTGTTTGTATAGGTAGTTGGTCCCCTCAAGGTCCCCCAAAGGAATCAACAAGTAAGTAGGCCAATATGAAAAATAATCATGACGAAAATGATCTGTGAGATTTTTGTATTGACCATTCCGATATATTGATTCATTTAATGGCCAAATATGATTAGGAAACAGATTCAAAATGCGTATTTCACGTTGAATCTTCATATTCATGTTGAGTGAGTACAAAAACCACTCTGGTATACGTCTATTGAAATACAATGATCATCTATTTAATACATGACGAACGGAACTCAATACTTAATTCTCACAAAGCATTTCATCAATTTATTATCAAAAACACTAGGCTCAAAGGACATCAGGTGATAATAATCATTAGCTTGAGTGAATCGTGTGTTAAGAGAGTGAATCAAATTTGTTTCCCACTACTGGAGCGGAAAAATAATATTTCTTTGGGTTCGATTATTCTTGAACCAAATAATGTCAATCTCTTTCGATTAGAACCTTTCATAGATTCCAAGTGATGAGAAACAAATTTGTCGTACTCTGAGTAATTATAATCAATATATGCTGATATCTATCCATACATGTAGGTCTTGACAACACACACACCGAGACACACACACAACAAAAAGGTCGTAACTCCTGATTCTTCAGAATAATACATTATTATTGCATGTATGTCAATATAACTACCGTCATCGACCATTCCAATATTTTGTACTACAGTTTTTATTCACATCATTCTGTGAATAGCAAGAATGTCATCGACATCGTCTCATGAGTTGGATGATCTCTTTAGTTGTCGTATGACAAATGTTGATTAAATTACCGTTGACATTTTATTCAATATCAGCATCATGTAACAATCAAATATTCAACGGTAACGCATTCCTCAAATGAATATATATATATTTATATAGAGAAGCAGAAGGGTAGTCTTTTGCTGACTAGTTGGTTAACAACTCTTTAATTATTTGTAAATGTTTATTTCCTTTATCAAGACATCTATAAAAATTGGTATGAATGAAACACTTGTAGAAAAAACAGGTGACGAAATACTTACTAACATGAGATTGGCAAGAGAAGTTTGATCAATACATAACAGGTACATCATCAGATTCTTTTTTACTATGCTGGTGAGGCATTCATTATTTTCACAAAACAGTATCACTGTCTATTTGGGCAAAAACACCGGTAACTCTGATTTTACAACAACAACTAGAGATCAAAATGGAAGGTTGACGGTTGAGTTTGTTTTTTCAAAGCTTCTAATCGCATGATATACGAAGATATCCGATTCGGATCTACGGTCATTGTCGTATACAGAAGACAAAGTGGCGGGTAAATTTAAAATGTTAATTGGGTAGTGAACAATAAAAATTGAAAATTTTGAATTTGAGAAAATGTAAGAGGATTATGTGGAATAGAATTATTTTGTTCAATTTTTATTGAGTAATTATGAATAGAACTGAGATTACCAATGTAAGATCTCTTTTTCATTCTGCAGTGTTTATTGTTATTAAAAACGATTTCCAAAAAATTGCGTTCGACATAATTATTTTCATTAGCTAAAATTTTGACATTACTATAATTCATGTGATGATCAGATTCAATGACATGTTCTGCTAGTGCACATCTTTTTTTGTTGCATCTGCAATCACTTTTATGAGAGGTGAGACGGCCTGATAAATTCCTCGAGGTTTGACCAATGTAAACCAAGTCACAATTAAGACAGGGAATCCTATTTATAACATTCGTTTTTTCCAGTGTTTTAAATGAAATTTTAGTTTTTGAAAAAAGAGAAGATACAGTTTTAATGGTCTTTTTAGCAATGATAATATTTTCATTTTTGAACATACTAGAAAGTCTTGGAGTGAGTTCTTCTATGTAAGGTAGAGATCTATATTTCGGTAATTCAACATTTTGGGAATTATCTGGAGACCTTTCAACTCTTTGCTGAATTCGAATTTCTGAATTTTAGAGTATGGAATTAATTATTTCAAGAGGATAAGAATTTTCGAGCAAAATTTGTTTTAATTCATTCAGACTATTATTTTTATGAGAGGGATGTGATAACCCGATCACTCTATTCTTTAAGGCCTAGATTAGATTCAGCTTCATATTCATTGGGTGGTATGAGTAGAAACTCATAAACCTATTGCTGCACATAGGTTTTCTGTACCACTTGGTGCGAAGGTACTGGTTGTTGTCCCTGCAGACTGTCATATCGAGAAAAGAGAGGTATCGGTCAACTTCTAGTTCATAAGTTTAAATCATGGGAGTTGAAATATATCAAAGTTTGATCAACCCAGCCGTCCGGAACAGCAAGTATTAGGTCATGGTCATCTAAACTGGGCGTCAATTGAAACGTTAATATTGAAATTTGGCATCAAGTTTGACTTCTTGTAATTTCTAAAATATTGAACGAATTTTGAATTGCCGCCCAGATTTTGAATGCCTTTTTCATCTCATTTCGAACCGTTCCTTACAGCTTCTTCTAAATTGATCAGAATCCATGATACAGGGTGAAACAAAGTTACGTGCATTTTGAAAAACATTTCTCCGCCCCCCCATTTTGTCGGAAGACCACGATGCTCATATTTTATTCAGGCATTTTTTCATAAATAGCAACCATACCTCGGGACGTTTTCGAGTTTTTGCCAAAAACTACTGTGGTTTCCGAAAACAAAATTTTTTTAGCATTTTTTTTCAATGGACTAATTACCTGTATCACCAAAACGATGAATCAGTCTCTTTATTGTCATGAATGAGTTTGGGTATAGACTAATCGTCGTAACCTGAAATAATAATTATCTGTACTGAATTATAGTTTATATCACTATAGTGATCTTACCTAATGATATTTTCCATTTCGACCCGATTTGAACGAGGCATCTTTACATTTTTTAGGACCCGAATTACACTGACGTTTTCATGAAAATTGGCAATTGATATAACCTCTATGCATACCTACATTGTTTCAACAATACGCTGTTATAAAAACAAGGTATCCTTGTTTGTATTTGTTGATGAGATGTGTTGATTTACTGCTCACTAAGGTAGAAAACTTTCATCATAGACTGCGAAGTAATAAATTATTGATTGTTTTTGAGTAACCTGGTATACATATCTGCTCCAACGATTTCCTGAAATGCATAAAAGCATCCATTTATGGAACTTCTCTGAAATTAGTCCATTTAAAAAAAATGCAAAAAAAATTTTTTTTTCGGAAACCACAGTAGTTTTTGGCAGAAACTCGAAAATGTCCCGAGGTATGGTTGCTATTTATGAAATGCCCGAATAAAATATTAGCATTGTGGTCTTCTGACAAAATGGGGGGGCGGAGAAATTGTTTTCAAAATGCACGAAACTTTGTTTCACTCTGTATCACGGGTCCTGATCAATTTAGAAGAAGCTGTAAGGAACGGTTCGAAAGACGATGAAAAAGGCATTCAGAATCTGGGCGGCAATTCGAAATTCGTTCAATATTTTAGAAATTACGAGAAGTCAAACTTGATGCCAAATTTCACTATTAACGTTTCAATTGACGCCCAGTTTACATACCTCTTAACAAAAGGAATTTGATAGGAATAATGCTGAGAACATCCTTAACCAGATCGTCTAAAACGTAATTAACAAGAATAGGAGAAATAGATGAACCCATAGGGGTACCAAAAATTTGTCTATTGAAAGTATCATTGGATTATAAGGAATTTGAGTCAAAGATAAATTCTAATTTTCATTCTGGAATGTTCTGAAAACAATCGATGGATCAATTAGAGAGAGAGGTTTTGTTCTAAGAAGCTACTAAAACAAAATGAAGGAGATCATTCGAGAACGTTCTCGAACCAAAGCCTTCCAAGGGATCTCATATACAAACAGCCGAACAACTGCCGTCAGGCAGATAAGCAGCGAGTGTCAGAGAGACAGTTATATACCGCGTGATATGAATCGTTTTTCATAAATAGTAGTTATGAGTTCGATTTAAATTAGTGTGTCTTTAGTTTAAATAGATCAGTTCGAAAATAAATAGTGTCGTGTTCGCTTCTGCATCCGAATAACGTAACAATTGGTGTCAGAAGTGTGGGATATTCCAGTGTGAAGTGAACAGACCGTTGCAATGAAGAAACTACACGAGTTGAAAGTGGTGGACTTGAAACGCGAGTTGGAGGAGAGAGATCTCGACAAAACAGGGATCAAGGCTACACTTCAGCATCGTCTCAAAGTGTATATGGTGAGCGTAGGTGAAGATCCAGCGACGTTCACCTTCCAGGAACCAGCTTCAGCGGAATCGATGTTGGCTGGGATCTCGGAACAGATAGCGGCTCAGCGACAGAACATAGCGACTCAGCGATAGGAGATATCGGCTCAGCGACAGGACATTGCGAACCAGATGGTGGCTCAGCAGGAGAAGATCACGGACCAGATAGCGGTTCAGCGACAGGACATTGCGGACCAGATGGTGGCTCAGCAGGGGAAGATCACGGACCAGATTGCGGCCGAGATTGTGGCTCAGCGACAGGATATTGCTGATCAGATGGCAACTCAGCGAGAAGAAGTTCTGGCTCAAATTACTGCTCAGCAAAATCAAATCGCATCGCAGATCTCAGCTCAACGGCAAGAGGTATGGGATCAGATATCTGCTCAACGGGAAGAGATATTAGCTCAGAAAGCGGTACTAGCTCAGGTTTCAACCCAATTCACCACTCTGATAGAAGAAATTGAGCAGAGGCTGCAGCTCGAAATAAAAAGAAGATCTTTGCTGGAGAAGTCTGGAAATGGTCAACGACTCATGATTGAAACCACAGCAGGGCCAGATGCCGTGACTACTACCAATCAAGTGAAGCCGCCTATCTTTGATGGAAAAACATCATGGCCAAACTATCTGAAGCAGTTCGAAGCAGCGTCCAAAGCCAATGGGTGGACATCAAAGAATGAAGTGGTAGCTCTTACAGTAGCTCTACGGGGTGATGAACTGAACATCTTGCGAGACATTCCGGAAGTAGAAGCCGATAGCTATGAACATCTCGTCAAACGCTTCGAAATGCGGTATGGTCACG